GAGGTCTCTCACGCACGTTGGCGGCATGAAGTCGTGCTGCTTCTACACACCACAGTTCATGCGGGTTCAGCGCGTGGGGTGACTCTCCTGAGGTGCAGTTCCTGAAAGGGAGCCGGGCTCCAGCAAGAGCGTAGGCCCCATCACGTCCTCCTCAAGTAAACAGTGACCTCGTGTGCGAGAGACCTCGGCAGAGCGCCCACGACCTGAGCTGCCACGTGGGTGGCAGGGCAGGGATTTGAACCCATGTCTGTCTAGCACCAGCGCAGGGTACTGCTGCTCGCTGAGCCACCTCAGGAGCCTCAGGCAGGAACCTCTGCCCTTCTCTGAGGGGCACGTTGCAGCCCCTGCCATGTTCATTTCATTCTGGAGAGAGAAGTGGGCAGGAGCCTGAGACTCTTCCTCGCAACACCTGCTAGCCTCACAGCCGGGCCCCAGCATGCCCAGGGTACCCAGGCGTCCGTGTGGACCTCAGGCTACTGTGTGTCCCGGGCACCCAGTTGTCTGTGTGGACTGTGGGCTGCCGTGTGTCCTGGGCACCCAGCTTGTCTGTGTGGACCTCGGGCCGCCGTGCACCCCGGGCACCCAGATTGTCCCTGTGGACCTCGGGCCTCCGTGCACCCCGGGCACCCAGTTGTCCCTGTGGACCTTGGGCCACCATGCACCCCAGGTACCCAGTTGTCCCTGTGGACCGTGGGCCGCTGTGCACCCCAGGCACCCAGGTTGTCCCCTGTGGACCTCGGGCCTCCGTGCACCCCGGGCACCCAGGTTGTCCCTGTGGACTGCGGTCCTGCTGTGCGCCCCAGGCACCCAGGCGTCCGTGTGGACCGTGGGCCGCTATGTGCATCAACTCAGCTGGCCGGCGTCTCTGTCCTTGCCCGTGCGTCACACTGGGATGCTGGCTTGGTGAGCTCTGATGTCCTGACCGGGAGCCGGGGCCACTTAGCATCCCCATCTTTGGCGGTCTGTGTTTGGGCGAGGGGAGGCAAAGACAGTTCTGGGTTGCTCAAGAGGACGAGATGGGTGTTTGGGCGGGTGCCGGCCAATGCCTGCCTCCGTGTCTCATCAGTCACTCGTCCCACATGTGGATGGAGACGCTGCCACAGGCCAGCAGGTGCATGAGCTGAAAATGGCCCCCACTCTCCCAAAGGCCGTAGGCTAATAGCTGGTCACACGTGCTCCAAGAAAGCAGACGTGGACCGACGGGCTGTAGCGTGAGAGGCCTGCGTCAGCCGGGAGCCAAGGAGGCCTCTGAAGAGGCGGCAGCCGGGCCGGAACGCTCATGGCAGAGAAATGTGGGAGCAGGGGGGCCTGTGGGCCAGGGCACGGTAAGGGCCAGGCCTAGAGCTGGGGACACACTGGAGCACATGTGGGCTGCAACTGGGCGGTGTTGGCACAGACGCCTCCGGAGGCCTGACTCAGAGCTCCGTGTGCCCCGCTGTTGTCTCTGAGCTGGCCTTGGCTGCTGTGTGGAGAGGTCAGGGTTGAGGATGCGATGGAGGTGAGGAGACCGAGGCAGCGGGGTTACATGGAGGGGCTGGGTGGTGCCGGGCCAGGCAGGGGCTCAGGCGGAGCGCGGTGCCTATCCCGGTGGCTGGTGTCCGCACTGCAGTCTTAGCAAGAAGATGGCCTCGTGCCTGCAGCCGGCGAGGGGGACGAGGCTCAGGTCAGCTGCCAGGAGCACCGTGGCCGTCTGGCTGCAGAGCTGTGCCCATGGGCACTAGTACTGCTTTCGTGGCTGGGGGGTCTTAGACTTGGGCGTTTTCTCCACCATAGAGCGTGCACAGTGGGTCTGGTCACTCTGCTCTGCCCTGCGCTGCCCCAGCTGTGGGCCCGTGGGCAGCCTGGCATGCATCAGGCCTTGCAGGGTGGGACCCAAACCGTGGTCGCCGTGGGAGGCGGCTTCTCCGATGCCGTGTGTTCCTGCTGCGCCGCACAGCCGGCCCTGGCCGTGTGATTCCCGTCAGATGTGACCACATGCCCAGCGTACAGCGTCGGGTCGGACTTCTGTGTCAGCCGGGCTGCGTGAGCTTCCGTGGGTGGCCAGGCAGGGACGTCCTCACTCCTGGGCCCCGCTGTCTCTCCTTTCTGCACTGAGCCCTGCCATTAGACTGGGCGCTGCCATGGCAGAGCGTAACCCCGAGCGCAGCGGTGTCCCTTCCCACCCGCGTCTCCAACAGCAGGCGGACCTCTGCACAGCTGGCGGCCCGTTTCCCTATAAAAAAAACCCACTCGGGATGTTCCTCCCGAGCTTCCACAGCAGGCGGCGCCTCTTCCGCCCTGGTTCCTGTCCTGGCGCTCCCTCAGGGCCGCGTGGCCTGGAGTTTCAGGGGGAGGGGCTTCAGAGAAGCTCAGAGACCAGGGACAGCTCTGGCGGCCTCCATTCAGCAGG